TTCAAGTATATGCACAATATCATATAATAGATTATATGTATATATATGCAGACCTCGCAGTGGTCCTTCTTTCCTTCTTTTTTCCTACTTTTTTCAGCTCATCCTTCTTTGTCCTTCTTTTCTTTGTAAATCCTTCTTTTCCTCCTTTTCTTACTTTTCACATGAATATGTTTTGGGAGATTTCGGAGAACATATAAGCAATGCTGGTGTTAGATAAAAAGCTCTCGGAGCTCCAGGAAATGTTTAACTTATCAAAGGTCCAATAAAAAGCTATCTACGATTGTGTCAAACTATGCATGTACGACTTCAGTTTACGTGACACAAACATGCAGGACTTGAAATATCTAAAATAGCTCTTCACTGAAATTCTCTCACTGCTCAAGGTTGGAGACATATACTCAGTTACCAACCATAATGGATGCTGCGCTGCATTAGAACTTGTTTTATAGTTAGTTACGTGAATAGTCATTCTCTGATATTGATGTTCGGCCCAGAATTTTACTCAGTAGAATGTAACAAAAGCACAATTTTTGCTAGTATTGTCATTGATAAACAAGGGAGAAAGACAATCAACATTTGTTAGTAAGTAAGATGGCGCTTATGGACGAAAATAGAGTGTTATGTGTAAATGTTTTTCAATTCAATCCCCAGTTAATTGTCAGTCTTCCACGCAACTAAAATTGATCAATCAATGCCAGACATGATCTAAGACCTCTCCGTTTGAAATGTAGCTCTCTTTATGCTTTTTCAGTTTATGATCGAGTTGGGATTTCAAGGACATTTTTTTATTTTTCTTTTCGAAAAGCTGATGAGTTATAATTGAACTTTACATCGATATGAGCACTGGAGAAGTATTCCAAGTTGTGTACAGACACATCGATCAACAAATGAGACATTTGTCCAGTTAACTTAAATCGTTGCAGAACATAAAAAACAATCTTGAAACACCGTTTAGAGCAAGAACATTGAGAAAAGCGTATCTGGATTCAGGAGTAGTATAGCATTTCGATTCAAGCAAGATAGTGAAAATACTAGATGAGTAAAAATATCTGTCAGCAAGCCAGAAAAATTTTACGAAATGAATCCAGCTTTTAGCGCCAAAATTTAGTCAATCAGCTAGCTTAACTTCGAAAACCTTAACTTCTCACATGTAAGCCAGATTTGGTTATTTATCATAATTCTGTCTCATTATTTGGAAAAAGGAGCAAAGAGAAATAGCCACTTTGCATTGAGTTGCAAATTTTTCGCAGACAGAAAGAGCATCGTGCCTTAGAGAATGTACTGAGTTAAGGGTACAATTGAATTAATTACTGTTAATGAATGACAACAAAGTTTAAAACCATTAATAATTGAACAATGTGCTAAAGTAACTAAAACAACTGTCGTTTATCCTAGTGAACGTTATGGAACTATTCGACGTATTGCTGATCAACGTCGTTTTAACAATGATTCATATTTAGAAAAATTTGATCTTACTGTTAACATTAATAAAATGTTAATGTCACCAGCGAAAATTTTACAAACACCAGAAATCAGATATAAATCATCACGTAGTGATCAAAATTATGTCTTTTTAAAAAAGTACAAATTGGTAAATGGTGATTAAATAATCGTTTAATAAAGCACGTGCAATACATACGTGAACTGTTGTTCTTGTTAGTCAACATGAACTAGATAATCAATCAGTTCGTTTGGCAAGAGATTCTCTTAATAGAATTCCCCAGGTTTCAAAATGATTTTATTTAAATAAATACTTAAATAAAATGCTTTTCTTTACTTAAGGTTATGCGAAAATATGGTATTAGATTTAATTCATCACCTATTGAATAAACTGATGCTGCTGTACCACAAATAATTTTAGCTCATACGAATGAACTTAAAATGCAAGAATGCGAAGTTATTATTTATATTTTTAATTAAGTTGGTGATGGCGTTAATCATACTATGCAATTTTTTGGAAATGTTAAACTTGGTAAGATTTCATACGAATACTTATGAGAATTGTTCGAATTAAATAAGCAGATAAATACATAACTTTTGATAGAGACTATAGGAACCAAAAATACAACTTTACCAGATCAATACTAGAATGCATAGTTACATGTTCTAGAATCTCATGTGAATGATCTTATGAGTTATATTTATGTAAATAAAGCTGCGAAGAGATGTAATAAAGAAGTGATATTTTTATTATTGAATATATTTGAGAAAAGACTGCTTAAGATATTTTTTTTGTGAAACATTGAATGCTTCTCACAGATAAAGAAAGACACCTTAGTAAAGAGTTCTTTTCAATCACTCCTAATCAATGAAAAGAAGTATTGAATATACAGAGTAATGATTTCAATTACTTTGTTCAGCATCTCTTTTTCTTCGTATTTCAAATTTTGATCCCACAGAGATTACAGTAACAGATTGTTAAATTTAATATGCATAAATCCTAAGCTAGTTTTCTATATGTTTTCTATATGCTATCATTGAAAAAACATGACTTTGCACATCGCTATTCCCACAAGTGAATTTATCTACAGCAGAACATTGTTGTATCATATATAGTTTCTCCTTTGATATCATATCTGTATGTTGATGATATAACTGCAAATCACGTCGAGAGAGAACAAATTCATTCTTTCTGATTTTTCGGCTAATAGCATGCATTGATTCAGACGATATATATTTAAATTCTTGATTATCAAATTTTATTTTAAAAATCACTTGTTTTATTTAAAATATTGTAATACAATGCACGCGCTTGGATTGTCTTATGTTCAACAATAATTCTCGTAAAATGGATATGCAAATACTCGCTATATCATTTCTTTGAAATTAAATATTAATAAATAATTTCTGTCCAAGAAGTTGGTAGAAAAATTTAATACCAAATTAGGTGGTATTAATCAACTTATTCAATTAATGCGTGCATTAACTTCATCATCAGCTTGATCAGATATTTTATACTTTTCGATCTTGATTGTACTCATAGAAGGTATTCGCATGAGTGATCTTCAATTGTTGCTATTAATAGATGAAAAGATTGAACAAGTTGATGTTCCTTTTTATATTAATTATTTTATTTGAAAAAACTCTTTACAGGTACACAATATGCTGGTCGTATTATACAACAATGTTCATCAAAAGGAAAAATTGTACTTGAAATTATTAAAGATCTTCATTTATTTGTTGAAAACTTATTATGTGAATTTTCTACTCATAATTCACGTTTATCAAAAAAACTTGTTTTTAGTTGAGCTGTTGTTGATGATGGATCATTTGAAAGAGTATTTGATAAGGAATTACGATCTATTCAACGAGCATATAATGATAAAGATTATTATTATTATTATTATTATTACTGTTTGTATCAATAAAAAAAGGGAACATTTTATTTAAATGGAGTTCCATGATCCTAATCAATTATCTCAAATTTGTTTTGTTTTTGTTGAAAAACGTCATAATACTCGTTGCTTTACTTAGAATAAACAATATAATCAAATATATAATATTCAATCAGATTAAAATAAATTATTTATCTAATCAATTTTTTGTAATATTTATTAATTTTAGGAACAGTGATTGATACTGATGTTGTTTCATCAAATAGATTGAATTTTTATCTTCATTCTCATGCAGCTATTCAAGATAGATCACGAGCAATGCTTTATCAAATTTTACATGATGGAATTGGTTTTACATGAGACGATATTCAACAACTGACGTATGATTTTCAAAATTTGAAGAAAAGGGTTTTACTTTCAATTGCAATAAATATTATTTATGTCATAGTGATATTCGATGTCCAAAAGGGGTATCTATTCCAGCACCTTATCATTATGCTACACTATGTGTTTCACATACTTTTAGTCTTGATTATGAAGGATAAATGACAAATAAACAACGATGTATGGCCACATAAGTTTTACTAATTTTAAAGTTTTTATAGAAAAGAAATTTAGTTTCGTTTTAGTTCTAATTTTGAAGCTTTGTTGGATGAAAACATTGCCGTTATTTTAAATGATATTCAAACAGCAAATATTGATTTTTATCCATCTATTTGAAAATAGAATGTGGTTTTTATGAACATTAGTAATCTTTTGCATATCCTTGATTTTTTTTTGGTAAGTAGATTTTGATCGAAATCTAAATATATTTGCTTGTGCTTATTTTCTGTCTGTTACTATTTTTTCTTCTCAGTTCATATGTTTTTTTCGTTTTCTTTTTGTTTTGTTTACAGATCACCTTTTCTGTTTATATGACTATTTTTTTTTTCTTTCGTTCTTTCCATTTCTCCTTGTTGAACCATTTCTCTCTGAAAGAAAAACCATTTCCCTTTAAATTCAAGTATATGCACAATATCATATAATAGATTATATGTATATATATAT